TTTATAGTTTTGATACGAAAAAGTAAACTCTTTGATTGAGAAGGTTTTCCTAACGAGACCTCTACTTAGTCGGAAAACTCAATTTTGAACAACATAAAAATATTAAACAGTTCACTTTTAGAAAATGCTGGAATCTGATTGGTTGAAATCGAACAAACACAAACAGTGATACTAAACAATACTTAATTTTAATTGGGTGACTTTCCCTAAGCAACAATAAAAAAACTTAGTTCATTTTGATTTTCTTTACAATAAAAGCAATCGCTCTATACTTTGTATAAATACTTGAAATATTTTTTTAGTTTATTTCAACAATTCAATAGGTATAAATAATTTATTAATTCTTTTGGGACATTTTAAATCCCCCACTTTGATATGCACCAAGAGCTAAATCCTTTATATTAATACTTAAGAATTCTCCCAATTTTTTATGCCGTCGCTGAATAGAAACGAGAAACTGCAGTGTGGGGACTGTGGAAACATGTATATTCGTCAAAACGCAGCTCGACACCGCAAAAGATGTCAAGCAGGGTTCATTTTTTGTCCTGATTTTAAGTATTTCAGTCACAATCAACAACAAGAAACGAACTATCACGTGACCAAGAAGCATGCTAATCATCTTCCAAGCAATCAACGGTTTGTTTGTCTTGCGAGAAGGAATTTCCGAGTTTATATTCGCTCCAACAACATCGGAGAAAAGTGCATGGAGCGAAACAAAGGAAAACAAGTGATACGGTGACAGACTTGAATAAGATTGTGGAGGAGGAAGGGGAAGATGGAGAGAAATTAAAAGAGGAGTTGAGTGCTTGCAAAACACTTCCTGGTAGATAATGAGATGGAGAAGGGGAGACATAAGGAATTAACTTTCAAATGTCAAAGTTAGATATGCCAAGGTTATCAACGAGAAGCTTGAAGAAGTCTTCAACAAGCAGGATTACGCTGCAAAAATCAAAATTGCTCTGAAATTTGTTCTCCGTAATGTCGAAACGGGAAAATATCGGTGTTACTATGCACACGAAAACTGTGTACGAAAGCGGATTTGATTACAATCCAGGGCAAAGTTGAAAAGTTTGATATTGTGGAGCAATGCACTCAAGAAACGAATTTGATTAGAATCCATATAAGAGTTTGAAAGTTTGATATTGTGGAGCAACCTACTCAAGAACGTCAAAACATAAAGTGGAGGTCCAAATTGATCAGAAATTTTACTATTTTTGCTGCACTACTAAAATCATCCCAATGAGATGTCCGGACTCTGTCTTGCCTGAGCCTTTACTACGACAAAAGCAAGTAAACTGTCTTTTATCGGATAAAGATAAACAACCATACAAAGATCATCTTTGACTTTTCCGGGCGTTAACAATCTATTTGCATTGTCATAGTAACTCCGATGCTGTTACATCTCAGCTTTTCACAGAGTTTGTATCAAAATTTAGATACGATCTGAAGAACTTTCGTGTAGTGTCAATTGATGATCTACCTCTTGTTGAGGAAATAGTTGAACGCAACCTATTCATTTACGATTTGACTTTCAAGTAGGTTAAGATGTTGGAGAAGCAGCCAAGTAAAGTATTGGAAAATTTGAAAAAAAACGTGAAATTGTTAAGATTCAACAACCATATTATTCATACGATTGATATTGGTTCTTTCTTCAAGTGTTTCCGATGTCCTACCTGTGACTGTTTCTTCAACAGATCAGACAACTTCAATAGACCTCTTCTAATTTGTAAAGATATAGTGCGACATATTTATCCCAAAAAACGCGTACACACTGCGTAAAAAAAATTCGACAAACTGGATGGATTCAACATTCCTTACACTGAAGATCAGAAACTATTTGGTAATGTAACAGTTTTTATCTTCGAATCCATTTGTGCTCCACAGAAGAGTTGAAAGCAACCGCAACAACTACTTCGATTAGATAATATATCCCTATTTTCGTCTCAATATCTTCAAATCTGCAAGATGATCCAATTTTTTTGTTTGAAAAAGATCCAGAGCTTTTAATAATTGCTTTTGTTTCCAGCCAATTTTATCCATTCTCAATGTGCCAAGAGATGCCGACCGGACGTTACACAAGATGGTAGTATGACTCTGAAACTGATCGATTTGAAGCTAGAAATGACAGGACTTTAAGTTTCGAGAACTTGGTAATGTCCTTCTATCACGAAGTGAGACCAGAGTGGAAAAATGTGAGTTTTTACACAACCGGAAAGCAGAAGAAAATTGACTGTTTCCACATTGATGGCTATATCGATGATCAATGTAAAACATTATTTGATCATGCCAAGAAACCTGTCCATTTTTGTCAAAACAAGATACTGAAAGAGGAAATAAGAAGCGAAATATGGATGAGTTGAAACGAGAGTACATAGAGGAAAGACGTTACAAAATTCAGGAAAGGTGGGAGTGTGAGTAGTGGGAACATTTTAAAACAGATTCTTCAGTCAAGAAATATGTCAAGAAAAACTTTTCATATGACCTCTGTCTACTGATTTTTTTTAGCTTGAAGAAATAAAAAACGGATATCTTTTAGGATATGTGCAATGCGATTTAATAGTTCCAGACGAGTTGGAGCCCATATTTTCATTTTTTTTTCTCCATATTTAAAAATATTGACGTCTGCCGTAACGAAATTGGAGAATACATGGAAAACTCTGCCGAAGAAAATGGTACAATCATCACACCCCTTCTGAACTTTTATTAAAGTCCTGGACTTCAATATACCAAAATTTATCGATTTATTGAGTACACACCTAGAAAATCTTTCAAAAATTTTGTTCAATCTGTTTTAGATGCTCGGCGAGACGGAGACGAGAATCTAAATCTGGAGCTGTTGCTGAGACGATGAAGCTTTTTTAGTAATATCTCGTACTGTTATCAAACTATGGACAGATCCAGACTCAGGATAACCAGATATGTCAGCGAGGAGAAGACACACAAAAACGATAAATGAGACAATGTTATGAAAAAAGATTTATGGAGTGGAATAATAGAGTCAACAATTGAACATAGAGAACCAATTATTGTAGGCTTTTTCATTCTTAAAAATGCCAAACTTAGAATGTTGGAGTCATACTACAACTTCTTCCACAAGTATTGCGATGAGAATAAATTCGAGGAATTGGAGATGGATACGGACTATTTGTATCTTGCATTAGAAGAAGATAACCTGTACGATTGTATGTTACTTGAGAAGAGAGCCCAGTGGAAACTAATTCGTCGAAATGATTGTAGAGACAACTATATAGCTGATGCAAATCAGAATTTTTTCCAAGTAAATGCGGCGCTCGTCACAAAAAGTATGACAAACGAAAACATGGATTATTCAAAGAAGAATTTCGCTGCACTGAAATGTTGCGCCTGTGCAGCAAAACGTATTGCTGCTATGATAGTAAATGCACAAACTTAAATCTAGCAATAAAAGAATCAACAAAAGAACTCTAGAAGATATCGGAGAATGGACAATGTCTAATAACAGACGATTTCTTGACAAAGCTGTAAATTTGAAGTCGACCAACTGCGGATTCAAAATATCCAACCATTTAGTCGGAACGTATGAACAAACTAAAAAAGACTCAGTTACTTTTACCCGAAAAGGGAAGTTCTTAATGATGGAATACATACTAGGCCAATGATTTTGTAAATTTAACCGTTAAACTGTAATAAAAAATCATACGATGCAATGATTTATAGATAATTTAACTTTTCAGCTGTAAAATAACAATTTACAGTAATTTAATTTTTTTTCTGAAATACTTTTTTTCTTCTTTTAAGCTTCTGTTAGGTTTCAGCATGGTTTCAAGTAGATGTTTAAAAAGTAAGATTATCCATTAAATTAGTTAATAGGTCAAATTATAGCTAGTCTTATTGTGTTTTGTAGTTTTTTTTGAAAATTTTTCAATTTTTTCGATAACAATTTTGAACTTTACCCAAAAATTCTTACCATTGAATTACCATGTACCAAAAAAAAATAGTTAAAAGACCTTCATTCCACAATCTACAAGTAATTAACAATCAATTTTTTACCAAGTAGAAAAAGCGCAACGGGTTTTTTGCGAAAAACTAAACATTTCGACACAAAAACCAAAAAATGCCATTTTCTTACAACGTTCTCACCATCACACAAACCATGAAACCTTACCATCGGTTTTCTCTATCCTAATACTTTCCAGACTCTATACCCAATCTTAATACATAGCTTGCAGACCGGGTGCTCTATTCGCTATCTTAATACATGGCGGTCTGCACCCAACCCCGCCCCCACTTCTCCTCACACATATACTACTTCTAAATCAACCATATTACTTTTTTCCTCATTTAAACACTTAGCATGAAGCAGAGTTTTTCATTCTATTAAAATTTGAGCAAAACCTTTAGTTGGAAGAGTAATTTGCTTGAGTTATTTTGCACTTGCCGTGGGACACTTTCTACTAAACTGAATTGGTTTCTATGAAAATATAGTCTCGTGGTACAATTCTGTGTTCCAAAAAAGTGACAGCCAAATTATAATCGATAAAATTAAACACGATGTTTTGTGTTGTGAAATCGTGTGGCGATGATAATGTTATTGGTGATGATAATTAAACTGTATAGGCTTTGTTTAGGAAATTTTGTATACCTAATTTTGTAATTATAATCAATATAATAGTCTGAAAAATAACTTAATAATATGTTTAACTTTATATCTTAAGCCTACACTTGGATGCGGGCAGAGCGAGGCGAGTCACAATTCAAACGTTGTTTGACATTCATTGAAGTCACGAATTAAGTCTTGGTATTCAAACCAACAGCACTATTTGGGGTTGTTTTCACTAGTAAACAGAAATCACAATCATTTTTTTTTCACAAAAAAAAACAATAAAACCTCAAACTTAGGCTTAAAAATTTTTACGGAAATGAATGTGATGTAGCAATTTAGCAAGATATGAACAATTTTCGTGGTGAAGCAATATTGCATCACCTTCTCGAAGTTTTTCCCACCTTTTCCATTATTTTAGCAAAATGGTTTGTGTTTGGAAAGCACTGTGCTACATTTCGATCATGCGGTGATTTTAAAAAATGTCCGAAACGAGGAGCTCGCACTTCTTCTACGTTTCGTTGGACGAAATTCAAAATTGCAAACCCTTTGAAAGGCCATTAGGGGGACCCAATGTTCGACAGGAGACTCGTGATGAGATTGCCCGCCAGTTTAACAAAAAAAAGCCCCCGCTGTTCCTAGAAGACATAACCGATAACAGTTCGAACCCTGATAAAATTAATACCAAAGAGACCAATCTACAAGTAGGCAGTCATTACTTGTGGAATTGTGACATTTGGAGGCAAAAATTTCTGGTTCAAAACGCTCTCTACTGCTCCTCTTTAGCCTACGAATCATACCCATATAACAATTTAAGGAAAAAGGACAATTTTCACGGAGTAACGAAACTGGTTGCAGCTAACCGATTATTCGGTCAACAAGTGGCTTCTTTGTTTTTGTTGGAAAAGGATCAAAGTTTACGAGGCGAACAAATATTTCTTATCGCCTTTAGAGGAACAACACTGGGCGACGAGCATGATTTTATTACAAACATTAAACTCGGTTTGAAAACAGATTCCAAGTTTGAAGGAAAATTTCACAGTGGTTTCTTGGAACGATCGCAAAGTACGCCAATTGAAGAGATTTTAAATTTGGCTGAAAAATACAATGTTAGACAAATACTAACTTGCGGTCACTCTCTTGGCGGTGCAGTGTCGTCCTTGTGTCACTTGCGATTGATGCAATTCCTTGATGAAAAGGGAGACGCTTCATTTGAACTGACCAACATGACTTTTGGAGCTCCTTTTTTTGGCAATCATGAGCTCCAAGTATGCGCGTCACAGCGAGGATACACCCATAGGATGTTTCACTTTGTAAATTCTTCTGATATCGTACCGATAGTGCTCTCATCTGGTCAAATAAAAAAATATTGTGATAGCAAATATTTAGGCAAAGTAATGTTACCCGTAATAAGAAAAACGATCAAACTTTGCATTCGGGCCGTTTGCAGAGAGAGTTTTACTCGCTCAGAACCAGTTACAGAAGAAGAAGTAGCAGATATTTCTGCGTTTCTGAACAAAGAGGAAACGACAAATGACAATAACTGTTATGTTCCGATCGGCAAATACCTTTCGATCTATGAAGACAACAACCAAACAAAAATTCAACAGCTTGGCAACCAACCCAGCACAGTTCGATCCGTTTTGAACGAAAGATTCGCAAATCAACGTTTAAAATGGTTCGAAATAGAATGCTTTCACTCACTACGTAACTATTCCGAAACTATCGAAAAAGGCCTGGGCGGTTTCCGTCCCATCACTAAAACTAACGACAATGTTCTAGTTGAAAAAGTGCATCGCGTAGACTTTGCTGCAGAACACGGCCACAATTTCGAAATGTCATTGACTTCCTACACTTGCGCGGCAAATTGTGGCACCTCTTTACCTCTGATGCGTTCCAATAGCCCGTTTGTATTTTGCAAAGCCTGTTATCGGGACCCAAACACTGTGGAATATTTTTTCCATCAACAATGCTCACACATAGACGGTGGTGACTATGAAAAAACCCAATAAATTCAAAGCGTTACCTGGATTGCGATCCATATAAGAAAATGCATATGAAACAATTTTATTTATGGAATCTATGAGAAAAACGTTTGACAGAAGAAATTTGTATGATAAGCTATTTATAAAGAAACTTTATTTTTTTTAGACTTTCATGCTCACAAATTTTGATTTTACAAACAAGACATATAGTTTGGGATGTTTTTTCAGCACTTTAGTGACAACAAAAATTTCCATAAAAAAGGAAACTATCGTAGAAATTATAAAAAATAAATTTATACAAATTTTTTTCCGGTTTTTTGTTTTGTAACATTTTTTGAGAAAAAATAATCTCAATCTTGCCTAAATCACTAGTTTTTTAAGCGTTTGTATATTTCTCGAATCACACCAACCATGCACTAAAAACAACACTAATTTGAAGAAGAAAAAAAACTTTTTCTATATGGTCGGAACAGACTATGCTACTTGCGCAGCAACCGGCTATACTAGATTTTGTTTTTTTTAATGCTAAGATAGACCCAACTTTGTAAAAAAAAAGAAAAGGCATTTTGCAGTTTCTCTGCGTGGTAACTGCTACTCACACTCTGGTTTTCTTTATGACAGAAATTCCTTAGTTAGTGTTATTGGATAAAACAAGAAAAATCAAATCATTTAAAAAAGATATTTATTAATGGGAAAAATGCCAGTCATACAATTTCATGATATGGTGATATGGGAGAAAGTTTATCAAGCAATTCGTTGAATTGGGATATTCTTTTCACGTTTTTTCGTGATAAAAAATAGCAAAAATCTCGTCCTTTTATTCCAGGCGAAAATTGTAAATTCATAGTAGGGAAAAATGCTAATTTTGCTCTTTTAGTCCATGAGTTTTTATCAAACATTATTATAAGCTTTTCTCAATAAAATGTAAGTATTGAACAAGCATTTTTGTCAACCCATGTTGCTTGCTAAAATATTAAGACTTTTTTCAACTGCAGGAGATATTTTTCTAAGAATTTCAAACGAAAAACACCACCGTCTAAAAAGTGCATGCTACAAATGAACACGAGGTGTTCAAAGACTTAAATAATATTGGCTGTCTGAAACTTGTCCAACATAACCGAATCTTCGACATGATCGCTTTATCGGCTGGAAATCTGATTGAATTTTGCATCTGGCAAGAAGTACAATACCTCGGGTCAACAAAAATAGTGAAGTTAAAGGCTAAGATAAAAGCGTAAGTGTTTTCATAGCTCTAATACTGGGGCTGAGGTGAGCAGGGAGCGGAAAAGAGAGGGAACAAATTGTTCTAGATTGTTCTAGAGCGTTCCAAACGGGTCATTAACAGTTCTAGATTGTTCCAGAACTATCATACACATACCTGATCACTGTTAACTCTCCCTTTTCCACTATTCAGTAATTGAGGACGTAATTCATGTCTGAAAAACACTAACAATTAATACAAAAAACTCCGAACTAAGTAAGGATTTATTTTTTTTTAGAAAAGTCTACAACAACCACATTGAAACCTTGAGCCATGCCAATATTCTTTTCTCATGTCTGTGTTTAAAATGTATCACCAAGAAACCGTATATTGATTTATCAAGGAATTTTGATCTTCACAAATTTTCAATTTTCTATAGTTTTTCAATTGCTCATGCAAACTTTTGGAATTTTCTATAGAAATTAAAAGTTATTTCAGCTCTACTGGAAAAATATTTTACAAATGCCTTATTCAATTGAGGTTAATGAAAATGAGATTTCGAATTTCTATTTTTGGAAATTGTAGCGATAATGACGTCATGATTTGAACGAAGTTTTCATTTTTTCACCAACGCTTCAATTGTTGCACGAAGCATCAAACACTTCAGGCTACTGGTCAGACTATCAACAAATCTCGGAGTGTAAGTAAAAGCAACAACAAAGTTATTCAAGTTTCAATGGGTGCCTTAATGAAAAATTGAGAGTAAAATTTTTGACATGTAATTTTTTTTAAATTTTAGTCTTTTTAGTTCACATTTATTTTGGATAATGATTTCCCTGCTTTTTTTGTATTTTAGAGAGAAAAACTTAAAAACGAAATACAAAAAGAAAACTCCTTGTTTGGTTCCTTGAACACTTTTATAACAAGCTCGTCTTTTATAGTCCAGTGGGACAAAATAAAAAAATGAAAAACAAATATCTAGAAGCTAATTCGAATAAACCTGAAAATTCTTTTTGTGAAACTCTGTTTCGACAATTTTAAACAAAACTTTTTAATCAAGTTTGATGATTTTTTTTCAGATTTCGTAAAAACTTTGGATGTCTTATTTAAGGCCTGGTACTTTTGGTGTTTGCTTAGTAAGTTAGTGGGAACACCTGCACAGTTAATATCATGAAACAAACATGAAACAAGATATGAACTCATCTATACACTCATTACTGCACACTTCCCAAGGGGTATTTACCTAATTGACTTTGAGTTTTCGCAGCATGAATACTCAGTCTAATGATGCCCCTCCTAACCGCAAGGAGGGGCATTAAGAGAATTTTAAGCGTTAAGAGAATTTTATGCGTTGGCATAAAATTAGTAAACTTCGAGCTAGAACAAGAATGCCCCTTCTAATCAGTTAATAATTTTAGAAATTTAATTTTAACTTTTTTTTCTGATTGGTGCTTTCAATGCCCATCTGAACTAAGAACTTGAGAGGCAAAAATTAGTCAAATTGTTTAAAACTTGACCCAAAAATGCTTCTCTTTATCAGTAAAAAATTTTTAAGGCACAAACTAAGGTCCACTTACTTGACTGTTTTGGAACTGCTTCTTTCTCCGTTTTTCGTATTATTTTTGCAATGGCTTGTTCTGCGACTTATCCAAGTTTTGTGATCGTATTCGATTGAGCTCACGTTTCATTTTTCAAGCTCTTCGTTTTTGAGATGAAATATTTGCGCTTTTTCTCTTCTTATTAAGTGAGACGTGTTTGTCATTTTTGCTCCAAAGACTTGACAGCAATCTAAACTCTACGTTAATTGAAGGGTGAAACTTTGCAAACTCTTCGAGGATAAATTGGCTTTTTCATTTAGTGCTGGATAATAGCATGCACTCTGCGTCAATGATGAAAGTTTCCATGTCCTTCAAGCCTTTCAGGATATTTTTCGTGCTAATCTGCTGACAGTACATGATAGAAGCTGTCCGATCACGTAAGCGTAGGATCAAATGCAGGAGATCTGGAATGGAACAAGGATTGCTGTTATTGCTTCGATGAGGGTAAGTTGAGTGGGCAATATTGTCGAGCCAAATTGTAATTTTTGATTTCTTCTAAGTCTTCCTTTCTCCAATAAGTTCTCTTCTACCGTTTTCGTTGAAACTCAAACCAGGGATAGTAAAACTTCTATTGAGAAATTTCTCGCAATCATCATGTTGAATCGTTTTGATTGTATGCTCTAATGAACGGTGCCGGTCTCTAAATTGTCTTACATAAAAGGATCTACAAAATAACAACTTGGTCTTTTAATCAATTCATTGAAATTCTTTAAGAAGTTTATCTGAAAAATTTGGCAATACAATTAGGAGAGATAAGGGCTACAATTGGGCTAGAAATTGAGTTGTTCATTGTTTGACTTTGCCCAAGGCAGCGTCTTTTAAGCCAGACAGCGTGTCTTAATGCACATGCATTTTAATGAAACATAGCGCAAAATTTTTATGCATATTAATTCAACCCGTGTAGATTAACCAACAACCTCGCGTAGGAATTTGAAATTTTAATGCTACAAAGAACTTAATAGTTCAGAGATAACAAGTAATGTTCAGATAGATTTACATTTTGGTTCTTTTTATTTAGCGTATATGTGTATTACTTCTGGGACAATCTGGAACGGTTAATGACCAGTTTGCAACGTTCCAGAACAATCTTAAGTTTTTTGCTCGTGCTCTTTTCTATGGCCTGCTCCCGTCCCCTTTCCCGGGTTACAGCTATGCAAACACCTGCTACTGATAGGGTAGAAAAGATCATTCTAAGCTTTTAATTGTTCGCTCTGTATATGATATAAAGCAGAACAATGAGAGCTTCTTGCTTAAATTTGTTTGTTTTTATAAAACAGAGGTTGCAATTGGTACTTAGTTATAATTCTTTTGCCCCTAAGTTTTCAACAAAAAAATGTCAGCAATGCTATCAATCTCAATAAATATTTAACTAAAAAGAGCGCTGATGCTCATTATAAAGTTTTGTTTTCAGTCGATTGATATCGTCATATAAATCTCTCTAAAAAGCCAAAGTAGCACAATCAGCACAACATTTTTCTTTTTTGATCAAGTAAGAACTCACTTCTGTGTAAAATTTTGGAGCTCCCCTATCTACAATTTACTTGTACCATAATATGCTTTTATTAAAGCTTTCTGTATTGTTCACTTCGCTGAAGCCGAAGATCAGTTCCTGAAACGTCAACTCACTTTGATTGTTGCGTAGTGCAGGATTTATAGAGATTCGAAAATCTTCACTATAATTTTTTTTCAAAGTTTTGCTCAAAATTGAAAAACACCATTTTCCTTTATGATATGTTTGCAGCAAAATGTGTAGCCGGTAATTTTTTGAGGAAAAATAAACAAACAATCTAAATCAAGAAGAAACTTTTAAATGTCCCTAAAGGTGACCCGGTGTTCAAGGCAACAATTGATGTTGCGAGATATTGGTCAGTCCCAATTAGCGTAACCGAAACACTCAGTCTTCTAGTAGTAAATATTGGTCAACAGCTACACCACAAACTTACACAGGAATTAAACAACAGAGATTTTTATACTGATACTTTGGGCGACGTTGCAGCTAGTCTATTTGCAGGCATTACCACGCCCTTCATTTTCCAGGGTTGTTGTGAGTTCTTCTTTCACATCGATGCAGGAGAAGAAAAATGTATTTCCTGGAATTATTTTTTTAAAAGAGTTGGAGTTGCAACAATGAGTCTTAAGCTAGGGAAGTTTATTTTGAAACGTGCCATGGGGAAACTGCCGTACATTTTGACATTTGAAGAAATGTCCAATTCCGATTTGTTTGTTACTGCTTTGAACGTTTTGGATATTCCCAGCTCAGACGAAGACATTAACAAAATTAGTCACAACGAAATCATGCAATGCTACATGTCAAAAGTTGGAGCTCAATCTCTCGAACTCTCAACGTTGCCTGATTACAATCGTGAGCAGAAGTTTACAAACAGAGATAAATCTGAACAATTGTACGAGTCATCAAAAAACTTGTTGATTTCGTTCTACAAAAACCCAAACTTGGTTTCTCGTGAGGTTAAACGTTTAGTCAAACAAAAGTGGGAACTAAACAAAGAAACCTGCTGTTTTGTCGCATCGTCTGACCTTATTGGGAAAATGAAAACTTTACAAGAACAACTCCACTGACAGACAGAAAAACGAGCGGTATTGAATCGAGGCGAAAAAGAAAACAGCAATCATCGCAAGGAACGACAGCGAAAAGACCTCGCAGATCGCCTCAAAATACTGGACAGCAATCATCTTTTCCATTATCAGAAAATTGTAATGTCATTTTAAATTGAATGAGTCTGAAAATACTGCCATATGCAAGGATAGAAAGTGGTTCCTGTAATTAAAATCAATTTGCTTTACTTTGTATAAATTATAGATACAACCCTAATCGCTGATGACTAAACATCCTAATCGCTAATCGCTGATAATTTGTAAATAATTTGTAAACTGACTATAAATTGTATTTGTAGCAACTGTGAGCACAAACGTAAATTAACTACCTGATTAAACGGTATCTTAATGACAATCAATAAATATTTAACTTTTTTTACAAGTTTGCATTAAACAGTTTTTCATGCATTTTACTTGTAATATTACTACACTTGCTAATTTTTCATATCTAAAATTAATTGATTTTCGTTTCTAATTTTGGTGAGATACCAATAGCTAATTTGTTTCTGAACCAACTCTTTGAGAGCACTACGCGGGCACCAGTTTTAAAGATTATTTTGACTCCAAAATTGCGTCAAAATCTGTGTCCAGCACTTTTTATAACAGCAGTTGAAGCTTTTTATCTTCTCAAATGGCTCAATTTTTTTTCACTCGGTTTTTATTCATTTAATTGTATACAAATTGTGTTCGGGTTGAATTAAATGCGTTAAAAGAAAAAGAAAGACCTTTTAAAACGTACTATGAAAAATTGTCCCTCCCGCACTGACAAACTGAAGATTGAAATCGAGTTAAACCGATATTTATACAGATAATCGATTTCCGATAGCCTATATAGTTACGATAACCAATTTCAAATGGATTAATTGGTTTCTTAAGGTAAAAAAAAAACAATTCAATATTTTTGCATTCAAATGGAATTAAACGGATTTTTGCAAAATCTTCTCCGTCAGAGATACGGAGAACAAGATTCACTCGAAGAGAGCTTTTTACCGCACACTTTTAAGTTTAAGGGATTTCCTTTTAAGTTGTGCAAAACTAGGGGTTCCCGCGGTTAAGAAAAATACAATTATGCGAAGTTTTTTAGAATACACTCTCATTAGTAACGGTCCAGGCTCATTTTTGTCATGCAGATAACATATTAACTTATCAAATCAAATAAGAAAACTTCTTTCTTGGTGCAGAATATGTTACTTACCCTCATAGTTTATTTTCAGTTCAAATCTCAAATCGAAAAATCAAATAAAAAGCGTATGTTAAAATGTCATTTCTACTGTTTCTATTCTACTGGTTAGTCTAGAAAATCTAAATAAAATCCGTCACAAATTGTATTAAAAAGAATACATGAAGGTGTTTAATTTTGATTAAAATCGATTTAAATCTTTTTTTTATGCTAAAATCCGTAAGAAAATAAAACCAAAAAAAAGTTTAAAAAAAGTCTGGAACCGATTTAGAATTGACATATTTTAATATAAAAATTATGTAACAAACTAAATTGATTTTAAGACCATTCAAATTAACACTTGTATGTGTCTGCTACATTGCCTGTATAAAATCGATTGAAATATATAGCACGGGCAAAAAATTATAAGATGATTTTTCTTACACCACATTTCTACAGTATCTGTATTAATGCTTGCAGTTGTGGTGATGTCATATCCTTTTCTGTGCAGTTCTATGTTCGAAACTGAATTAATTCACAAAGTTAAGTGAAATCATTATTGTTGATTTTATACTTTTAATAAAATTACGACCGTCATACTTGGCTTAAAAATTTTTATAATTCCTATGAACTGAAATAGCAGAAATTCTTTGCTTTTGAAAATTTTTACTTTTTTCCTTTAAATTATTTAAAATTTTCACAACTTGAGAAAAAACTCCTAAAACTTTTACGGGATTTATACTAAATGCAACAAGCTGACCTTTTTGTTTAATGAGTCTAGTGCTTGCCCTAGTTAAAGAGTACAATATAAAAATCTTTCTCGTTTTCAGTTCTCGACCAAAAATGTATTTTCCTAATAATAGGTTCTTCAAAAGTTTTGTTTACTCTATTGAAAAACATTTATATTTGTTGAAGTGAAGGATGAAAATGGAGTACGAGTATAAAATTGCAGACGAAAAAATGTCATTCAATAAAAAAACAGTTGGTTAATAAAAAAAATTTGAAAGACTGTGAATTTTCCCAAATCAAAAGTAACATTTGGCAATATGAAATTGCAGAGTAAGTTCTCACCAATTATATGTTCTGACAACGGTTTTAGTCAATTTTTAATAAAAAGGCAAATAAATTATTATCCGGTTAAAAACTACATTTAAAGAAAAATTTTGCTGGAACAAACAAATTTGAGCGAAGGAAGTAAAGTAGCGCTCATAAAATTAACTGCTTTGTTATTTTTAAAAGTCACAAAGATGGATCATTTGTGTTTTTGGTTCATTAACAAAAAACAACAAGGAACCAAAAATTAAAAATCAATTTCAAAACAGACATTTCATCAAAAAATTATTCTATTTTCATATCGAATATTTTGTAAAAACAATAAATAAAGCTATGTAATGGGATTTTTTTTCTGCGGAGGAGCAAATTTTGAACTTAAATCTTAATGGAGAAAAAGAAAAGTCTAAATTTTTAAAAAAGAAATTGCACAGAGAAACGTGAGATAATTTGCTTAACACGATCGGCCAATTTAAGTCAAAAGCTAAATTTAGAATCTTCTGAGCTGTCTTTTACCTATCACAAATTTGTGCAGTCAGATATCTAAAAACTCTTTTCATTTGTTCCAGTTTTGTGGAAAATAACTTAGTGGGTGATACTAGATCACAACGTTTCAGGATTTTCGGGAAAACGCAGGGTGCCCTGCGTTGAACCCATACCAAGCTTTTGATTTAAATATATTCACGGAACCCAGGTGAAAAATAATCATACAAAAACAACTTGAGTTTTTTTTATAGCTCTTGGAACTGTTACACTAATTCTACACTTTCGAAAAGCTGTAGATATCCATTGTAATTTGAAAAATGATTAAGATAGAATTTTTTAATTTAGGATCAAATGTGATAGTTCTAAACCATTTCCATCAATTAAATGGTTATTTTATCAAAAACTTACATGCATAACATGTTTAAAAAATTCTACAGTTGGATTTTGCTGGTATGTTAAAAAGTTTTTTACTTGGGGTTTGCTGATTCTCATAATTGTTTATGGGCTCCAAGCGTATCGTCCTCAATTTTGATTGAACAGTGGGATAAAATCAAACAGCGTACTGGTACGAATCACCATACTAGTACCTGTTGATTTTTCCCTCAATCAATATATAAAAAACATGGTTGCTGCAATGAAAGTTGAACCTCGTTTGCAGAAGAAGAACCAAAGTACTTCAATTGAGTTTTTGCCTAAGTTTTTTCTCAGAGAAATTTTATCCATATTTCAAAGTTTTTCTATTATGACTAATCGAGATGTGCAACTTATTGCTCCAATAACCAGCACCTCAGTAGGTTTTGCCGTCTCTCAGGAAAGTTGTAGCTCAAATCTTAAGACATAAGCAACAATTTTAGGAACAACCAACTTGTGATTTCACTGTAGACTGGGTAGGAGATCAATCAATAACAAAATTGATCTGGGGCAATTTTCAAGTGTTATTGGTGAACTCTCTTGTTCAAAGTGTAGACTTGGGTTGTTTCGAACTGACCATGCCAATTTTGAGAATTTTTGTAGTCTACAAAAAGTACCGTATCAATTAATTTAGTATTGGTGTTAAATTATGTTCTTAGAATTGAAGTGAGTTAGTTTTCCCTCGACCGCTGAAGATAACATTAGGATAGTAATAACAGTACTCTTAAAAGATCTTAACTCATTACATCTTCCCAAACATATTCATTCTGACCCGTAGGTATCACAATTGTTTTGCTTTAAACTTGTTTTTACCTAAGCCTGTCAGATTATTTCATTAGTTTTTTTGAACTCAAGGATGCAATGACTACAATTGCGTATTTTATCTACAAAAATTGAAGTGCTTCATATTAGATTCTTGATTTGTTACTTGAGTTGCCAGAGCAAGTTTTAGTTTCAAACGGTTGAATTGAGTTCTTTTCTCAGGTACTAAGATCTATTAAGAATCAATAATTCATCTGCGTGAAATTTTCATCAGCAAGTTATCCATAAAAAACATAATCTGAAATACTTTGTGACGTCGATTTTTGGTCAATTTTCTCATTTTCAAATAACGATGATTCTTTTTCATACGAATAACTTCTAGTTGCTAAAGTTGTTTTTACATAGTCTTTATATGAGGGTTGTTACTGTTTCTTTGGTTTGGAAGAACGGTTGATTCGAGAAGCTTGTTTTTTAGAAACGGTATGTTCCCGTCCTGTGAGATGAGTTAGCCCAATAAGCTGTTATCTCGCTGTTGGCATGTCTGCTCGTTTGACTGCTCTTTCTATGCTCGCCTTACCATGTGGTAACTTGTTTGCTGCAATTTTTTTGCCATTTTCTTTGCTCGATGGCAGAGCTAACTCGGGTTCTACTGTAACTTTGTAGCTAGCTGCCATGAGAGCTAGTTCCCCAAGAACGCTACCAATTTCTCGAGCAAAGAAAATTCCGATATTCAAGCTTACGAATCATTTTATGAAAAATTTGAAGATTTTTTACTAACCTTTCATTTCTTTACACCTAAAAAACGTGATTTGCACTGTTCAAACGACATCAGTTTAAGAACTAAACAAACACACACCTACACTTATTATCGTTTCATTCAAAATCCTTTTGACTTACACACATCATCAAGATAACCCCACCACAGATTTCAATTCATTGATTCCAAATACATATCACCGTTTTTTCTTAATTTCACATATTGTATTAATAATACTAAGTTTCAAGGAAAACTTCGAAATTATGACCCCATCACGCAAACGTATAGATTCTGTCCCCTCACCAAGGCCTTATACCGATCGCATGAGCTTGTGCTTGAAAACGTTTGCTGACGATAGCGACCTCCCATAGCGAAGTTTTATCGAAAAATGATTTAAAGCGATGTTGTGTTGATTACTTCATCTTTTAAAAACATGTCGTCCAACACTTCATTTTTTCAGCTTGTAAAAATTTTGGTGGAGATAAATCTGGAAAAATTATCAAAAATGCAAACATCG